AGCTATTAAATACGATTGAATGCTTTGAAATTCATACGTAAATATTTCATTAAACACTTCAATATTCTAACTTTTTTAGTTTTTCAAGCTCTACAAATTTAGTTGGAAATAAATTGTAAAATTGTATTTTTTTATAAAAAATGGAAAACCTTTATTTTCACCCCCTACCCCATTCCCCAAGCCCTCGCCCCTCACCGAAAATAAGAACCCTGTTCCCTATATCGATCATGATGATTTGCAAACTCGTTCGTATAAATGTAGGTTTACATTTTGTACAAAATTTCATTCAAAATTGGATAATTTTTATTCGAGTTATCGTGCTAACTGACACACACATAAAAATTATATGAATTTGAACGGATGTTGTTTTTGGCTTCTGGGGATACCAATACAAAAAAGTAAATAAGTCCCAGGTCTTACCACGAGACTTGCAGTAATATCTGATTCCCTATATAGGGATTCACTGAAAGAAAAAAAACTGTCATCTTAACTTGCTTCCTCTATCGATGTATACAATTCTACATTGAGTTATTATACATAATGACTACCACTTTCTGTCACAACACTGTAAAATTAAATCAACGATTTTTCCGGTTTAACGAGCTCTCCGTGTGCTGTTGTTTCTATGTAGTTCCACTACATTCAATAGTGGTGGTGTATAATTACTGATGTATTTCCGATCTTTCCGATCAGCTGATACATTAGTCAGCTGGTTGTCGCAACTACTTTCTCCGTCCCTCTTACGTAAAGTCACCTGTCAGCTGCTTCAACTTTTGCTTGACGATTCTTGTACGACCAGCTGTCACGTTTTTGCAACTTTTTGACCTTTGTGAATACACTACATTAGGATCTGGTGTGTACAAAAAATGGTTACAGCTGCTTTCGTTTTTAGCAAATTTCCCTTTAGGGAAGTAGCTACTGTGTTACCTTAAGTGGTACCGTAAGACCTTGGTCCGTGACCGATTTAAGTTACTTTTTATTTCGTTGTCTCCAGAGGCCAAAAACACTATTTGCTCAAATTTTTATACAGGGTGTCCCTAAACAGCCTGTACCCCTTTCGTGCGATTTTCCTTGGGTAGAGAAGATAGATTTTGCAACATAACCATGCCTAGCTTTCCGTCTATCTGCTCGTATGTGCTTTTTACATTTAATTTTCCTATTAGCTTTTTAACGCTTCAACATCTTTTGGTACAAACACGCGTAAAATTACGTCTAAATGAACTTCAATAAACATTATTTTTGTATCTTTAACCATTTAAAAATGGTGCACAATTTAAATCTTTAATATCTCGAAAACAAAGAGTTTTATCGAAAGCCACAAACATTAATAAAATTGTTTAAATTTAAAGACGAATCTCTAGAAAACAAAGTCAGTTGTAAAACAAGAAATTTATGACACCTTTTATCACCCAATGTTTTAATAATAAAAGTTATACGACATTTAAAAGGTTTCATCATGTGTATTGTGCATGCTGATCAGCTGTTACTTGCCCATTTCTTGTTACCAACAAATCAGCTTATAAATAGAACTTTCTACACAATGAAATAGATATTTTGCTACCTCTGCATAGAAATGATCACATTGCTACGCCTATAAACAGTAGGGCCTACGCAAAATAGCTTATTTTAATACGGTGGTAGGAAAAAAAGTTATTTCATAAACTATTTTGATAGACTTTCTTTTACAAATCAAACTACTCATCGTGTGTTTTGATTAGACCTTCAAATATATTATTGATTTTTGGATGCTGCAAGTCTAATTTGCATCCTATTGTTAAATCAGAAATCGTGTATAACCTGTGTTTCATCCGTGGATTTTTTCGTGATTTTTTGGCAAATTATTTATTCTTATTGTAACTTTAAGAAAATAATTTAAACCAAGTTAAAATTTAAAATTTAACGGAAACCTAAGAACCACATAGACGATACACAACACCACACACCATCCTCTAAACGTAAGCAGACTTCGTCGATGTATTTTGTTGAGTTAAACATGTTATTTTATTAACATAAACATAAACATTACAAAGTATGACAAATAGAACATTTGTAAACTACTGCTAGTGCATTGTTATTTGTTCTGTGATAATGGTATCCCTCACATACAATTTGACCTCAAATATGAGATACATAGCCTTATTTGGACACCAAAAACATCAAAACAGCCTTGCATTTTGATTTGTACAGTATCATGCACGCTTGAAACAATAAGGATTTATCTAGAAAAAATTACATTAATCGGAAAAATGTAAGTATGTTAAATAAGTTTACAATATACAAACCTTTAGAAATCTTTGGTTCGTTACAACTTAACAGATTCAGGTCAAGGAATTAGCCAGGAGCACTTGAACTAATATCGACAGAGCGATGATTATCTGAAGGAACAGGCAATCCAACGGTCCAGTGAGCTGTAAGGGGTTGTCAAAACTCGTCGTTAGTCTCTAACATGATACAGACATTTTATAAGTGTTTCGAAGGTTCAACAAACCTTTCCACCAATATTATATATCATGTAGTAAGTTGACAATTCTTACCAAATTATTTTTGCATTGATTTAATTTTAAAGCTCTGGTATGTAAAAACATGTCAACAGCAGTTTGATATAAAATATCAATTTGAAAACAACAGATTTTTGAAAAGTAAGAGGTTGAACAAACTTCCATATGTATTTTTGTGTATTGTTTTTTCTTTTTATTTAATCAAAGATTCTTCCGTACAAACTTGTTTCCAAATCAATTAAATTGTTTCAACCTGTGGCATAGTTTAAAATAATATAAATCATCATTTTCTAAACAATAAAACACTATACATTTTGAAACTCAAACCAAAATGTAATAAGTACACTACTTTTTAATCTAGATTACATTAATACGGACTTTACTTAAGCCAGTCATTTGACAGGAGTTTATGCACTAGCGGTTTAGCAAGTCCAGAGCATTGACAGAAACCGCGATTTCGTAACCGTCCGTCAAAACCGCGCGCCGCTTCCGCTATGTCTGTCAAAACTACGCGCCGCTCCCACTATGTCCGTCAAAACCACGCGCCGCTCCCACTATGTCTGTCAAAACCACACGCCGCTCCCGCTATGTCCGTCAAAACCACGCGCCGCTCCCACTATGTCCGTCAAAACCACGCGCTGCTCCCACTATGTCCGTCAAAACCACGCGCCGCTCCCACTATGTCCGTCAAAACCACACGCCGCTCCCGCTTTGTCTGTCAAAACCACACGCCGCTCCCGCTATGTCTGTCAAAACCACACGCCGCTCCCACTATGTCCGTCAAAACCACGCGCCGCTCCCGCTATGTCTGTCAAAACCACACGCCGCTCCCACTATGTCTGTCAAAACCACGCGCCGCTCCCACTATGTCTGTCAAAACCACGCGCCGCTCCCGCTATGTCTGTCAAAACCACACGCCGCTCCCGCTATGTCCGTCAAAACCACGCAACGCTCCCACTATGTCCGTCAAAACGACGCGCTGCTCCCGCTATGTCTGTCAAAACCACACGCCGCTCCCGCTATGTCTGTCAAAACCACACGCCGCTCCCACTATGTCCGTCAAAACCTTGCGCCGCTCCCACTATGTCCGTCAAAACCTTGCGCAGCTCCCGCTATGTCCGTCAAAACCTTGCGCCGCTCCCGCTATGTCTGTCAAAACCTTGCGCAGCTCCCGCTATGTCCGTCAAAACCTTGCGCAGCTCCCGCTATGTCCGTCAAAACCTTGCGCCGCTCCCGCTATGTCCGTCAAAACCTTGCGCCGCTCCCGCTATGTCCGTCAAAATCTTGCGCAGCTCCCGCTATGTCCGTCAAAACCTTGCGCAGCTCCCGCTATGTCCGTCAAAACCTTGCGCCGCTCCCGCTATGTCTGTCAAAACCTTGCGCAGCTCCCGCTATGTCCGTCAAAGCCTTGCGCAGCTCCCGCTATGTCCGTCAAAACCTTGCGCCGCTCCCGCTATGTCCGTCAAAACCTTGCGCCGCTCCCGCTATGTCCGTCAAAATCTTGCGCAGCTCCCGCTATGTCCGTCAAAACCTTGCGCCGCTCCCGCTATGTCCGTCAAAACCGCGCGCCGCTCCCGCTATGTTCGTAAAAACTGCGCGCTGGTCTCGCTGTTATATCTTCATAACTTTTTTATTTTCTTAGTAAGCTTAAAAATGTGTGTTCTTTGTAGCAGTAAACCTAAGTAGTAAAAGTACTCATTAAGCCAATTATATTTATACTGGTCTTAGTCCTAATGATATTTTATAATGAGCCTCTTTCTTTTTTGAATAAAAAAAAACTCAATTACGCAACTGGAAAAAGCTTTCTTTTTGTTGCAGCAGATGTATTTATTAATTTAAATAATAATTAAAACTAAAAAAAACTAAATGAAATTTAAACTACAGAAATGTAAGCTGGATAAAAAAATGAGATTTTATTTTGAAATTTGTAACTACTTTTTAGGCAACGACAACAACAACAACAGCAGCAACAACAATTTTAACAGTCTATTTACCCACGATTTACAAATAATACATGTTTTACAGGAGCAAAGTGAACTAATATCAATTGCATTGCATATAACAAAAGCAGTACATATAAGCATTGAACAAAAACAGCATTGCAACAAAAATAACAACAAGACATCAACGAACTATAAAAAATGTAGATGAAAACAGCAAAAAGTATTGGATTCCTAACAACAAATAGTTTCTATTAAATTGGAGTTCAGAAAAAGTGTGGAATAAAGATTTTAAAGCAAGGACAAAATAAACTATTTCCTCAAGATATAATAATAAACAAAATGATTACAATAAGTTATCATGTGTAGTTATGTGTAAGTGTTTGACATGAAACAAAAAGATCGATAAATCCATGAAACAATAACAAATAAAAATGAGTGTTATTCAATTTTTGGGTTATTTCACTCCATAGTAAGATTGATAGTTTACGTGGAATCTGCTAAACACCAATGTTGGTTTTTGTTTACTCAAACCATCTGCTAATTGTAGTTTTAGTCATATCGGGATCATTCAGGTGTTTCAGTTTTGATTGTTCACTAGTCCAGCTATGGCAAAAACTAGGAATTCTGTCATTTTAAAATATTGCATTTTTATAATTTTTTTAACATGTGCCGCTGTTATTTCCATTTTGCATTTTACAGGTATGTAAAAATAATAAATATACACATTTTAATTTCTATTGTACGGGTTAACTAACTCTTGTTACCAATCTGTATCAAGTGTGCAGTGTGTTACTAGCCTACTGTAAAACACTGGATTTTTGTAGTTTTGGGCTGTATATATATATTTTAATCGGCTATGAAAATTATCAAAAAAGCCCCTTTTACATTAATTCATCGTAGCAGGATTTGTCTTTTTGTTATTTTTACGTTACATTTTTTTAATTTATCAAAGTAATTGTGATGTTATCTTTTTAAGGACGATTAGTTTCATAGGGGGGTCACATATAAACACAAATATTATTGATTTGTGTTAATGTTGTTTAAAATTGTTATATAAGTTAAATACCAGGAAAAAGTATGGGGCTATTTATAACAGATTTGAATAATGGAAAGCAAAGATTGCCTCACAGGTTAGAAGGACCTGCCAGAGCGGGATATTGGGATCTTGTGGCCCTAGTCCAAATTAGCTTGAGCAGCCCCCACCCTATAGATGGAACTTTCTTACGATCGCGGAAAAATTGTTAACACCTCCCATGATCACAGGGGCAGCATCTTCATCATCCGTGTCTCAGCAAATTATTAATTTGAAAAGATAAATTTGTGTCCTAAAAAAACTATTTGTAAAATACTGCTGCGGCCCCGTTTTGCTTGCAAGCCTAGTGGTAAAGAGATCATATTTTTAATAACAGAGAATCATGTTGATGAATGCAATTGCTTTTACCGTTGCAGATACACAATGTTTTCTTCATTTTTTTCTGTCACATGTTCATATTACTTTTGTTTTACCTTCAATATTAGAGAAGTTAAGTTAGAAGTATTAACGGTGAAATAGTAAAGAAAAAGATGCAAAATCACCTGATAGTGACATTATAAATTGTTTATAGTTTTGTTTCTATTGACACTAAGTAATTACATTTATTTATGTCCATTAAAATTTGTGAAATACTGCCTGTATCTTTAAAAAATGTAAAGACACAAAATCACAGCTGTGTTGAAAGAGGGAGGGTTATAACTATAGTTTTATAAGAATGATTCAATCAAAATTATTAATAATATCAACCTTATTTTAGATGGTCCTGTGAAATTTGCTCTTTTACACATTACTCGGTTGTTTCAGTTACCTTATCTCCTAGTTAACTTCAGATTTACTTGATGTTTAAAGGGATGCTGAGCCCACTAGTGCTAGCTGTGCTGGCGCTGTTCTCTGCTGGTGCATCTGCAGACTCAGAACTTCCGGCGTACAGACTGCGAGGAGATGTTGTACCGACCCACTACATCGTAGAGATCTCCACAGACCTTGAGGGCTTCACCTTTGAGGGCAAAGTCTGGATAAAAGTAAGCTCATCCTCTAGTATATAAAATAGGAGACGTTACCACTTCCTTCATTCGAGAACTGTCGGGAGTTCATTTTGGATCAGAGACGTGAGAGAGGCTCTTCTCTGAAACCCCTCCATGTTCCCATCTATGTCTTGCCTCTCCTGTATTCCCTCTTCTGTATTATCTATTCTGACTTCCTCCAACTGTCTTTCCTCTTCTGTCTCTCCTCTTCTGTATTACCTATTTTGACTTCCTCCAACTGTCTTCCCTCTTCTGTCTCCCCTCTTCTGTATTACCTATTGTGACTCCCTCCAACTGTATTCCCTCTTCTGTCTCCTCTCTCTTCTGTCTTCCCTCTTCTGTATTGCCTATTCTGACTTCCTCCATATGTCTTCCCTCTTCTGTCTTCCCTCTTCTGTATTGCCTATTCTGACTTCCTCCAAATGTCTCCTTTCAACTGTCATCACTCCTATTTCTTCCCTCTTCAATTATCCCCCTTTTGTGTCCCCTCTTTTAGTAATCTCTCCTTGTCTTCCTCTCTCTTGTTATATACACTGTTGCTTTAGCATGAAGTAACAAAAGGTGACTTTTAGGCTCTTGCAGGATGTTACAATGACATTTATCTACTGACATGTGTGATCACATGAAGTCTATGGTGTGTATCTGTGGTGTATATACACAAGTGCATGAGCATGAGGTATCTAAAGCCTAGTTCACACATGGAGACTGAGCGCGGACAGACGATAGACAGTCGACTGATCGTCTGCCAATAGTCTGGCAACATAGTTTTAAATACAAGTTTCCGATGTCTACACTAGCCAGCCAGTGTTTCTGTGTTTGTTAGTATGCCGACCGAAGAGATGTGCAGGTTCTGAACCATGGGGCTAATAGCGATGATGGACCCAAAATTTTCTCGAGCAAGGTTTGTACTATGGTCACTATCTTCTATCACACCTTCAGATTAGGTGAAGGATTTGGGAACTTCACGAGGTTGACTTCTAGATTTTGAAGGTGCTAGGCTTTGTTGGGCCTAAGATTTCAAACTTGAAGAGATGAACAATTCAATAAAATGTCATATAATAATAAACATTATCAAAAACTAATTCCAAAACTTTATAGAGACTCAATCCAGCTCTTTTAACACCGCCCAAAAATCGTAATACAGTACTACCGCTTTGCAGTCCAACTAAATGGGCTGAATGTTGAACACCTTCGAAATGTATCGAGTCTCCTATCTCGAGACACGTCCACACATGCAGACTTGAGACAACAGTTATGTATCTTGTCTCCATGTTTCCCATTCGAATGGGAAACAGAAAACAGTGAATTTTGTTTCCAGAAACACAGACATCCCTGAGCAGTGGCATTGCCATGGGCCAAGGGGGCCAGGCTCTTCTAAATTCATACTTAAAAGTGTTTTAAATCAAATTTATAAAATATTGTGGAGAAATATTTATTTGAACATCTTTTTCAAAGTGAAGAATGTTCCTGAGATATATTTAAAATTCATAGCACACTTTGCTTTTTCAGCTGGAATGCAAGACTGCAACTGACACAATCTACCTCCATTCTCGCAACCTCACGATTCCTGAGAAGGAAGTCACTTTCAAGCATGTTGCTAGCGAGAAGGAATTTGAGGTGAGAAAAAAAGTCAGATTTGTTTTACTGTAGAGATTATATAACATGGTTTTTAGTGGACATAACTTATAACACACATACTGTAGTATATTTTTGGACAATTTTTTATAGGGAATAAATTATTACCGTAGCTCTCATGATAAGACCTGGACCCGGGACCAATTTACTTTTTTGTTTTGAGGTCCCTAGAGGCAAAAACACCATCCGTTCAATTTCATACATATATACATATATTTCATACATATATTTGGGGGGTTTTATGGGGTAAAAATTGGTTTTTAGCATTTTTGACCCTAAAAACATTAAAGTTTTGCAATTTATATCCAAACTATTTTGTAGAGCTTAAATAAAACAAATGATTTACTATATTGAAGCGTTATTATGCATCTAATGGTTAGGAAGAAAACTCAAAAAATTGTAAATTAAAAATTCCCATGTTATTCTTATGGAGAATAAGTAAACTGTTGTAATTTGCTTGTTTATGAACATATTTTGATTTATTTTGGAAAATGTATTTATTTCATACTAAACTATTAACATTTCACACACAAAAAACACTTTTTTACCCTCCCTTTTGCAGCAAACCTAAGTACTCCTAAAACCAATGCTATTTAAATAGGGAATAAATGTGATATTTTTAAGGAGATATTTTAGAGTAAATCTAATCAGGCAAATGGAAATTCGCTTAGTCTACAGGTTTGCTGTGGCGGGGGTATTTAACGATGGCTATTACCTAAGGATATAGGCCTAAAAGATTTGATTATTCTAATTAATGTAAGTACCGTATTACTGTTGTATTTCCATACATGACTATAGATAATGATAATATTTACATTAAATACTCACAAAAATTAGGAAGAGCTGATTTCAACAAGTAATCAAGTTTTAAAGCCATTATAGTTTCATTAGATTGAAAATTCACTCCTTTACAAGGTTTTAAAATATTCAGAAATTCTACTTCTAAGGGATGAGTTTATTTTAGGATTTTGGGCTTCGGGCCCAAGGCAGCGATGTCGTGGGTTCGGATCCTGGTCACTGCAGATAACATTTTATCAGTACAGTTCACCTTTGTACTGTACCGGCTCACTCCTTGCTTTGCTGTTAACGATCCACGCACGGGCGTTTAGTCTATGTGGACGGGCAAATGCAAGGTTAAAAGAGGCCGCCAACCTCTTTAAAAAAAAAATAAATAAAAATAAAAAAAAATACCTATCTCTAAAACTATGTTTGTTCATATTACATTGTCAACATCAGCTCCCTTTGAAACTAAAATTTTTGAAAAGCCCTAGAAATGTGTTAATAATACCTCTTAAGTACTGTGTCTTATAATTGTATTTATAATTGTATTCTTCCTAAAAAATAAGAAAATTGATTCATGTTATACTTTAACTGGTAACCAATGAACTGAGAGCAGTGAATGACAACCCATACACAACTGCGTGTAAAAGGAACATTACAACATTACAAATGTGTGCTGTGTCTGCTTAAAAATATTAAAAGAAAGAAATTAAGTAACAATTGTTATGTTGTAGGATATAACAATATCTGGAATATCGTACGAAGACAAGAACGAATTTTTGATAGTGAAACTAGGGGAAAAGGTTACTCCAGGAAAGAACTACATCCTTCATATTCCATTTCATGGAATCCTTTCAGAAGGACTTGCAGGATACTACCGCTCGAGCTACTTTGATAGAGCTGCTAACACAACAAAGTAAGTGGCTTTCTGGTTACCTTTATTTTGTCCAAGTATTGTTTTTCACATTACTTTAGGCTAGACCTGGGGGTTGCGCCAATATCACTTAGATAAAATCCATTGGTGATTTGGCAAGATTTGAACACAGGACCTCAGGGACCGAAGTCCTGCGCTCTAGATCAGCTCGCACCCCTTCTGGTTATACCTTTAAAAGAACCCTACTTGAGCTTCAAAGACTGATCTATAGAATGTAAGATTAACATGCAGTGCCGGATTAAGCACTAATCCGACCAGGACACGGCCTAGGGCTGCAGCGGGTTTAACAAAAATCATTTTTTCAGAATCATAATTGAATTTTATTTTTTTTTATTATAATTTTTCATAGTGCAGGATCAATGATGATGTACCCACTATCACAAGTTATGTTCACGATTTTGCTGCAATCGCAGGTAATGATGGTGACGATCTCGCGATCGCAGATGTTCCGGATTTTGTCCCCATTGCGGTGAATTTCTACCTCAGGGGTCGTGCAAGTATCCTAAATCTAACATTGTTTAACAGTACCAAACTTCCACTTGCATTTAACAATGCAAGTTCAGGTCAACAAAAACAACTGACAGCTTTACTTGCTTTGTACATGCTGCAATATGGGTGTCAGGTTTAGAAATTCTGCGCTTGACCCTCAGTTGACTAGTGTTGTTGTTGTTGTTGTTGTTGTTGGTGTGTCAGACAAAAAGGTCTGACCAATAGCCCAATTGGCCCAACAGTCTACAGATGTTGTTTCCCTGGTAGTTGACATCAACATTACCATTACCCCATTACCATAGACTAAGGGTTTGAATCCTGTATGGTCCGGTGTGCAACTTTGAGGAGTTCTCCTGCTGTGGCAGAGCTTGCTGTGAGAAGTCAACCTAAAATGAATGTTCAACAGTTCAGGTGAAAGTTACAGTATGTGGAGTCTTAGTGAGTTGCCCCTCTATTCAGGAGTTTTGCAACTTTTTGCTTATGTTTACTGTGTAGCACACAGATATTTACGTTCAAACCACAATTTGTAAAGAAAAAATTATTTTTGTGTTTACAACATTAGAAAAGACATGGTGATGGTAGGAAAATCAAAATGGCCGAAAAATCTCCAGAATTTAAATGGTCAAGCTTAAATTGTTCTCAAACGGCTTAAGACTTTTTAAATAAGCTGTAAAATATCAATCTAAAAATAAGATTTACACTTTAAGAAAATGACTAACAATAACTTTGCGTAAAAGATATGGCTTTGGAGTAAATATAGTTTTAAAACCTGTGTGAGGTTATAAAATGTAATCTTCTTTGCGGCAGTAAATCCTTATGGAGCTGTAAAAGCCAAGGATGAGTAGTTGTAACTAATCCATGATTTGTCACGTCTCAAACAGGTACAAGAGTCTAGCAGTTAAAACTTCAACAACCGAGTAAATTGTCTGTTAAATAAGAAATAAAAATGTTACACTGATGTAAAAATGACAAGAAGAATCTTTAGAAAGATTTTGTTTGATAAAAACTAAATATAAATGGTTGTTTTTTTTCAGATGGCTTGCTGTAACTCAATTTGAGTCTACGGATGCAAGAAGGGCTTTCCCCTGCTTTGATGAGCCTGGTATGAAGGCAAAATTTACCATCAAAATGGCCCACAAAGAAGGACTTAAATCCATCAGTAATATGCCATTGCAAAGAACTTCACCTGTGTAAGTATGTTTGTTAAATGTGTTAAATATGTAATAATATTGATGGTGACTATTTCTACAGACCGGATCAAAAACTGAGATTAGAAATTATTCTGCTTACGGTTTAAAGTTTATTAACAAATCAGATTTCAACCAAAATCATGGAAATTGGAAATACGGAAGTATATTTTGCATCAAGGATAAAAATGTGGGTGGTGAGACTCAAATTTGTGTTTTATGATTAAGAAATATGAACAAAATTAATTATGTTAATACATTTTTCATTACTAAAAATCTCCATCCTGAAAAATCATACAAGGAGTTCAAGATTTCTTCATTTAAGTTTTGCTTTGTTAAGCGGTAGTAACCGAGTAAATTATATCTTCATCCTTTAAACATGGAGGATTATTTCCAGTTTTATTCAACTGTCTTTTGATTTGTAGGGAAGGCAAGCCGGGCTGGGTTTGGGACGAGTACCAAGACACTGTACCAATGTCAACTTACCTGGTTGCCTTCATGGTTAGCGAGTTTGAATACAGAGAGTCAGATCCTCAACCTAACAAAGTTCTCTTTCGGGTCTGGGCCAGAAGAGATGCTATTGATCAGGTGTGTATACGTTGGCAATTCTCATTTAACATGGAAAATACGGTTTGAAAAGTTTTGAAGACATGTACTTTTTATTGTGAGATCTCATGTGGTTCACTGTAAAAAGTTAATTTGTCAGGGAATACACAGTTTGGTCTGTTTCCACTGAGATAATTGATTTTGATAAGAATAAATAAGGTATCAAAATCTGATTCATCAAGAAATCTCTCTTAACAAAAGAAAAGATTTATACAAATACAGATATTAGTTATTTCTCATACATGAGCTAAAAATAACAGAAACTCATCAAGAGGTAATTCATTTTCTTGATCCAATCTTAATTCAGCTGAACTATGTATTACTGTAAGAATGTACACCAGAGACCCAATCTGTACTAATATGCTCAGGACCATCTAATTGTCCAGATTATCCGGAAATGCAATAAAATTGTACATAAAATTAAAACATTTTTTTGGACTTTAAATATAGGTACTCTATATTGCTTCCGCTTTCGCAGTGACACCATATGATTGGCTTTTGTTATTGAGGAAATTTCCAAGAAGAAGGCAACACCTATGATCATCTCCTACAATCACATTCTTTTTAATACAAGCGTAAAAGAGAACCACAGGACGCCTTTAATGAAAGAGAGTACTCGACCATAGTATAGCAATTATTCTTAATATGCTTGTTCTATTTGAAATTCATGTACAATTAAATTTTTTCTGGTTGTATTTTATCATAGTTGTACAATTTCCGGTTTCCTTGGTTTACAGGTTGGCTGTACACTCTGGTCAGTATACCAGAACACACAGCTTTGTTTTTAATTTAAACTAAATGACTTTTCTTCAGGTTGACGGATTAGTTGACGTTACTCCACTTTTGTTTTACAATGTGGTGAATTTGATACATTTAATTCTCAATATATTAGTTTGCATACCTTTGTCCGTCTTCAGTCTTCAGACAAATGTATGTAACCTATTATTGTACAATCTGTGTTGGTCGCAAGAATGTTTAAATTAAAATCTTGGTGAATCTCTAAATTTATTTCTGTTTCATTGTTCTGTCATCTAAAAACGAAAACTGAATTTCAATTAGACTAAATATTATAATTATTATAACATTTTGCAGGTGGAATTTGCCAGGAAAGTTGGGCCAAAGTTTTTGTCCTATTACGAACAGTACTTTGATGTTGGATACCCTCTGCCCAAGCAAGACATGGTTGCTATTCCTGACTTTAATGCTGGAGCAATGGAGAACTGGGGGTTGATTACATATAGGTAGGTACATACATAGGGTAGTCAAAGACCAATGGTACATGCTTTCATTTCACAATCGCTTTATGAAATCATAAGGGCTTATATCCTTATATTCTAGTCATCTTCTGAGCCAGGCGTCTGCATGTGTTCAGTATCTGTCAATCCTTAGTAAATAATGAGATGTTTTGTTTTAAACAATGCTGTGTCCTGATTACATCCTTGTTCTTAAATTTAAAGGCCACCATAGCATATACGGTTCCAAGTATGCTGCGACGAGCTATCTCATATTACGTGACAAGCTATTTCCTTCTTCATCACATTTCCTACATTACACAATAGCCATTGTGTTTCTGACTTTTAACATTTCCTTGAAATCCTCATTAGCCAATCCAGTAAATGATTTATTTCTTTGATTCAATTCTACACAGGTTAAATGTACCTCATTACTTGTATTAGTATAATCTTTATATTTAGTTATAGAGATAGGTGTTATTTAAAATCTGGATAAATGATAGTATTCATGAAGTGTCACATATTCTCATGTTGAATTTAAAATCAAAAGAATGCACTAAAGTAAAGAACTTTCAAAAGAAAAAGAACTTCATATTACATCAAATATTGAACCTCTTAAAATTTATACCACTGATAACAAATATTGTTTCAGTAAAACAGTCTAGAGAAAAGAATATAATTGTTTTAGTGTGAAAAAAAGTTTGTTTTAATGTAACTGAATCCATTCTGTACGTTTATGTGCTTTACAAACAAAGTTGTTTTGACTGATTGAGTCCCATTATTAATTTTACCTATCCTTATATTTTTTATTATGATTGGATGATTTTTTCTCAGAGAGACGGCTCTTCTCTATGATGAGAACGTTACGTCCCAGGCGTTTCAACACAGCATTGCCTCCGTGATTGCCCATGAGCTGGCGCACCAGTGGTTCGGCAACCTGGTCACCATGCGTTGGTGGACTGACCTCTGGCTAAACGAGGGGTTCGCTACATACGTCGCTGGTCTTGGAGTTCACAATGTAAGCATTCGTCCAAACTTGACACAGACTTTCGTGGGCAAGAGTTTAGTTTGCCACCAAGTAGTGTAGTTGCTTGCTTTCTTATCAGAACAAGATTGTAGCTATGAGATACGTCCTGGTTTTGTTGAACAAAGAATTTTTTAAATCTAATTCTTGCAAAATATGTAACTTTTATTGAGTTTGAAATTTTAAAATTTAATAGTGATATATTGCTCAACACAAGAAAATTGAGGATGGAGGAAAAGGCATAATAGGAAGATAAGGGATCTGTTTAAGATTATGATGTAGTAGCACACCCGTCCGGAGCATCAAAAAGTCCTTTATCACCAAAGACTTATGCGGATATATCCGTCACCCGTCCGGGAAGGGTTAAGTAATCTTAATATTCAACCCGTCACTACTTAAATGCTTAAGACAGGTTGATTTGAAATTTTAATACCTATTTATAAAATAAAAATTGTTTCTTTCACAGTTTTGTAAAACAATTACAACCCACTTTTCATTTCTAGGAATTTCCTGAATGGAACTCCTTGAATGCAGATGCTGTAAATAATCTGTTGGCTGTGTATTCACTTGATTCTCTGGCTTCTTCACACCCTGTGTCCGTACCCATTGGACATCCCAGTGAAATAACTCAGATCTTTGATCACATTTCTTACAAGAAAGGTATGTACCGACAATTCACAGGACCAGATGAAATCACCCTACATTAGGCATGGCAGTAAAGAACACTGAACTATGGTTTCAGATTTGAACTAAACTTGCTTGATTACAACTAAGCTCATTGGAGACCTCTGATTTATGGGCAACTCTACTTTGTAACTTCAATATCAAGAAGAAATCTTATTTTTATATTAGTTTGCATCTATATCAGTTAATCTGCTACTGTTATAGCCTACAGTAAGGAAAAGCAAAGTACTTATCCAAATTGTAGTTCAAATCAGTCCCGTTAAAGGAAGGTATCTTACGGAGGAGCCTTACTAAAGAAATTGGGCTAGGGCTGTCGATTACCATCTAGGAATATATGATTATCATATCACGTATAGGACTTCTTTGGAAAATAAAAGGAAAAAAAGTGCTGAGATTTTTTTTATTTTTATTATTGCCTGATTGTTGCTATTAGCATGAAACAATATTAGAACTTCTTTTAGATCAAGCTTAACCTAGGCCTGATCAGGCCTGATCTAGGCTTAGATCAGGTGTTTAAACTTGGATATTGCCAATAGTCTCTTATGACAGTGGGGAGCGAGCTAGTCTAGTGTGAGTTCAGAGTTGGTTCCCCGAGGTTCCGGGTCCAAATTCAGCAAATCACTAACGGATTTCTTATTTTCCTAAGTGATAATCCTGCAACCATGCCTAGCCTGAAGTTATGTGAAAATAATTCTGAGCTAGATTCGAGTTAAAAAATAAATATTTAATTTAAGACAGAATTTGATGTACTTTAACAAATTCATTTTGATTCCTGTAAGAACCTTCTACATCATTTTCATCTTCTGCACAGGAGCCTTTTTACTGAGAATGATGAACCTGTTTCTTGGAGAGGAGGTGTTCCGTCATGGAGTCAGTGAATACCTCAAAAAGCATCGCTACGGAAACGCAGAGCAAGATGACCTTTGGGCCTCCCTCACTGAACAGGTGCTTATAACATTATCGCTGATGACTTAAGAAATACACCAATTCTTTGTTAACATGATGAGTCAGCAAGCAATGTCAAAGTTAAGAGAAAAAGTAAATAGCTGAACGGTTAGATAGAAGTTGAGGCCTTAGGATTAGGTTAAGCCTTGTCTTTAATTCCAAACAAAAGACCAAGACCAATAGCCATCAAGAGTAATATTATCAAACCTTCACTTACTGAAATTTATGTAAGTATACCGTCAAAAAAATTTGTTTGAAATTGCAAAATCTATCACTCTTATAAGGTTGTCATGAATTATTAAAAAACACATACCACATACAGACGACTTGTGGATTCACTTGAACAAAAAAAAGTTACTTAACCAACCTGTTCTTTGTAGATAATCTGTGAGTAATCCGGAAGGCAATACACAAAATGAAGTAACTTAATGAATCATTCCTAAGATTCTAATACAAAGGCTTAGGTAGTTTTTAAAGTCAAATTAGATATTTAAATTGAAGGATAGGGAGAAAATGAATTTTAAAAGGCTCTTATAACAAAGCCTTCAAATTTACCAAAAAAAGTATTAGGAGAAAAGGAGTAGAGACGTATAATGAAATATAGGAAATTTCTATTGGATGAAATAAAATTTAGATTAATTAACAGAGAAGTATGGTTCTTAGGAAACTTTCCTTATGGAATGACCATGCGCTTTCAGCTCTAGTATGTTATGTGGGAAATGTACTTTGTGACAATTAGGAAGAACCAGAGCGGCGAGCACTATGGTGTAATTCCTACTCCACAGGGTACAGGGTCTTCCTTAACCGAGAGCGTTGTAGTACATTATAGTGAGGGGAGTGGTATTGGACTTCGCTCTAGACACCACCACTAGTGCTAGACACCACTCAAAGTGTATCATTGAATGTTTCATCTGTACTTTACTTCTCTATAATGAATTTAAAATGTTGGCTAGGCTCACAAGACTCAAGCACTGCCTAAGGAGATGACAGTCAAACAGATCATGGACTCATGGACAGTACAAACTGGCTACCCAGTCCTCTCGGTCAAGAGAGAATATGACTCTGGAAAAGCTATCTTCAATCAGGTAAAGAGCTAAATTATCCTTGCAGATCAACTTATAGGTCAAATTAAGGTATGTTTCCAATCAGTTCAGAATGTGTATTGTTAAAAAAATATACAGAACTTTTACCTTTTTTGGTGTAGTTTTCAACTCTGGCAGTTAGATGATTCTACGAATGATTCTTTCCCGGAAGAGTTAAAAAAGTCGGATACACATTTGCCCCTAAAGTGAAAAGCAAACCTTATTTAAATTACGAAATACCAGACACAAAAGACAGACTAATTGAAAATGGGGGAAGCGGTTACAAAATAACTGTAAACCACCATGTAGCAACCAACACATAGGATACACCAACAGATAATTCAACAAGACAATAATACAAGTCATCATAACAACCCCACATCAATGGTAGCCAAAAACTTATAAAAAAGAAGATAGTAACTAGAGTTTATTAAATATATAATAGAAATTCTTGACTATTACTTTCTCACATACTAAACACAAAATAATAAAAATACACCTTAATTAGTTTGATTTACATTACCATGACACAGGAATAAAACTTCTCAACTACTTACTTCTGAGAATATATATTAAATAAGTACAATAAGGATGACAATGTATATCTATGTTCTCAAGTAAATGCACAGCTAGATACTATATGAACTCAAAAATGAGCGAATAGGATTTTCCTAATTTTTTTTTTATTATTTATTTTAATGAGGTTGTTTGATTTGCTTACTCCATCTGCTTTATTTTTCAGAAACGGTACTTGGCTGTGAAAGGTAAACCTGAAGATGAGAAAGGATGCTGGTGGGTCCCGTTGACATTCTCGACTCCTCAACATCTCGACTTCAACGAGACCAGACCTCGAGATTGGCTAAGTTGTGACAAGGCTGGGTTGTCCCTTGATGTAGGAGCTGCTAAGCAAGACTGGCTCATTGTCAACAATAAGTTCACTGGTAAACATAACCTAGAAACACGACCATATGATAAATTATAAAGTATTAAGCTCGAAAGTTCCTGGTATTCATTTTCAGAGACATCCTTTCTGGTTGCTGATAAGTCTACAGGTGAAGAGGGGACAAGGAACCCTCTGAAATAGTTTATATTTCACTGTTTGTAAATGGTGTTTAAAAAAAACTATTTTCTACATCAATATTTCATGATGAAAATAAATTCTTTCTCTATTTTCTCATATTTTGAAAAAGCTAAACTGAAGTCCTCACATAAACAAGATAAACTCACGATAAAAAGATAAACTGGAACATCTGATCGTAGTCAGTAACAAAGCTACACAAATAATCTATATTCATTCTGCACTCACCCTGCATTCTCATTTAGCTTAAAGCAGGCACCAGAGTCAGTGTTTCCACACGACCAAAAAAATAATCCCGCTTACTGGGTCGAGAAATCCCGTTTTATCCCGCTTTTAAATTGTGAAAAATCCCGTTTTATCCCGTATGATTTTTTTGTACAATACCTAGTATTATACTTGACGTATCATGTTTAAAAAGCATTTTAAATATCACTATTATATTTTGCTACAGTAATTAATCAATTTGAGTTAGTTTTTCTCTAAAATTAAGAAGAAAAAAATAAAAATAGTCGTCACAGCCGAAAATCCCGTTTTATCCCGCATCCCGTTTTAATCCCGCTCAAGGCCTAAAAATCCCGTTTTCGGGATAATAATCCCGCGAATGGAAACACTGACCAAAGTGTGTGTTGCTGTCCAAAATTTTGATTTGAGTTTTTGCATCAGTAATTATTTTGCAGGATTATACAGAGTCAACTATGATGACCAGAACTGGCAGCTGATTTCCGATGCCTTGAATGGTCCTGACTACTCCAAGATAGACACTCTCAATCGGGTCCAGATACTAGCTGATGTGTTGGACCTAGCCTGGAGAGGTGATTTGAGTTATCGTCTGGCTTTCCATCTGCTGCGCTACCTGAAGCAAGAGGCTGAATACCTACCTTGGAAGGCCGGACTTGGGGGACTCAGCAATATAGACCGTCTCCTGCGAAGAACACCAGTCTATGAGCACTTCAGAGTGAGTTTTTTATATTTTAACTTTAAGTACAGATTAAATGTTTTTCATGGTTTCAATGAGCATTTTAAGGTTTTCATAGAAATTCATAAAATTGCCTAATTTGTAGAAAAGAGGCCTACGTAAGACTGGTTAATCACCCTATATAAAGATTTTGAACAACCAATTACAAATGTACAAAATACAAACATAACAGAAAGGGTACCGGATGCAGTGTGGGGACTTCCATTTGAATTAAAGGTTTTAGAATGGTTTCCGAATTTACCTGATCCGGCATGCCTGATCCGATTATACCGGACCGGACGCAGTGTGTGACAAGCCTTATGTTATCTCCAAATCAAGGGTAAACCTTTGTTTATTATTCAAAGATTCATAAGCCATCACCTTTAAAAACCCAAAAGAGAATTCCAAATTTGCAGCACCCTTATATTTCTATCCCTCGATATTGCTAATGGTTTATACTATAGCCCTTAGTAGGCTTAATACTTCTTTTAGAGGTACAAAAATATCAAGAAATGTTTAGCACAGAATTTATTTGAATTGGCAATCCAAATTTGCAAACTTTTGTCCTTCTTCTCTTTATGTGAGTATAATCTCTTACCAGTGTTGGTACAAAATGTCAAGTCTGAATTTTAAAAGACATTGCTAGTCTTATTAACAGTCTAGTCCCTGGCTAGGATCTAAGTTTGAGGAGACTGATTCACAAGATTTAGATGAGTTATCTACACCTAGGTTAGACCATTAGATCTTTATTGAAAAACATTTTAGATTGCATTGCTTTGAAACTGGGTAAGTGCAGGTTAAATTATCCCAAGTACAAGTCATCCAAAGTTTAAATGCCAGATTAGTTTAGAGTTACGTACATCTTTCTCCTTCTCTACATTAGGGATAGGGATTTTGGTAGTTGAACAACTATCTTTGAGCATTCTCCTGACTTTTGATACTTTTAGTCCATGAGATTTACCTATCTATCTCTACATAAGTAGAGTATCCCATTGATTCATGAGGATTTATCCATAAACATTGGTTTCCCAAATACAAGAAAAATGCAATATGCCAGTAAATCTATAGTTAAGAAGTTATTGTCAATAACTTATTTCCTGATAATACCCTAGGATCCGAAAAGCTAAGAAACATGAACAGGTTAAACCTTGGTGTAAACCCTAGTTTATATTACATGAACCGATTACTCCTTAATTGACCAGTGGAAAGACTCATAATAAACTCAATTTGTCACTTCCAGAAATACATGCAGAAACTTCTTAGCCCGATATATGAAAAGTTTAGTCGAATGACTGATACACCAAAGACATTCGAAGGAGTGAAACATCAAAGTCTGGTGTTGTCTTGGGCTTGTAGGTTCAACGTTGGAGACTGCAACTCTCAAGCAAGCCAACTGTTCCTGCAATGGAAGAAATCACAAAACCCCGATGATATCACTTCAAACCCGTAAGTCAGATTGTTTATTCACATTTATGTTATTTTCCATGGTTAATGTAAAGAAACTATTAACAAAATCGAACATGTAATTTTGACAATAGTTCAATCCCTAATGGTACAGGGGTACTGGATGATACGAAGATGACTTGGTAAATGTACAGAATGTACAGTTATTTTGCAAACTACACTGACATGTAGCTTTTTCTTTATAACAAATGGATATAATATTTATAGATAATCATAGCTTGTTTTGTTTACTCTTAAATACCTTATTTTCTCAGGTCTGACAAGCTAAAAATGGTTAACAAGTAAGTTTTTGATACTCACATACCTTTGCATGAGATTTCCCAGTCTTACAATAAAACAATAATGCATTTTATCAGGAGTTATGGCATGACTTTCCTACAATATGGCATGTTTAACTTAAAGTAAATATTATTGAGTAAAACATTCCCCTTCGGCTTCATGTACTACAACGCTCACGATAGAGGAAGACCCTGTGAACTGTGCTATAGGAATTTCCGCACAGTGCTGTTCATAGATGTTTATAGATGTTCATAGATGTTTATAGATGTTCATAGATGTTCATAGATGTTTATAGATGTTCATAGATGTTTATAGATGTTTATAGATGTTCATAGATGTTCATAGATGTTCATAGATGTTCATAGATGTTTATAGATGTTCATAGATGTTTATAGATGTTCATAGATGTTCATAGATGTTTATAGATGTTCATAGATGTTTATAGATGTTCATAGATGCCCTTTTCCACAGCATCCCTAAGGATCTCCGAGGGATAGTCTATTGCCAGGGGGTGAAGGAGGGAGGGGAGGAAGCGTGGACCTTCATGTGGAACCGTTACCGCAACTCCAATGTCGGAACTGAGCAGAGCTTGATCCTAGGAGCTCTAGGATGTACCAGAGAAGTGTGGCTGCTCAACAGGCAAGTCCCAACTCAGCCTTCCCTTTAAGCTTTGCTTTAGATAGGAATAGGCTTTTTTGTGCTCCATTCAAAATAAACTAAGATCGATGGTGGCTACCTCTATGTTTTCAATGACCATGGTAGTGAACTGAGATAGAGTACCAAATTTATTGTTTGTACAGTATTAGAGTGAAAATTGTCCCTGGCCTTTCACTTCGTAGATACTGTATTTGTAGTATATTATTATGTGTTTAATATTTTTTGGGAAGGAGAAACATGTTACAAACATAAAAAAAATAAAAAAAAGTTGTGCAAAGTGCTTTTCTTGAAAACGTACGTTTTTAAATTTTCACTCATTAGTGCATGACAAGTTATCATATTTTCTTAGAGACTGTGTTCTACAGTTAAAGGTTACTGTAAAGATATTTTATACAAAATATAAGATATTGAGGTCTAACAAATATGTAAGCTATGGTTTTGTGGTTTTAATACATATTTACTTTTGAAAACCTTGTGACAGTAACCATTTTGATTTTTAGATACTTAGAATGGTCCATTGATGAGAAATCCGGAATCCGTAGACAAGACAGCACTACAGTGTTTGCAAGTGTAGCTCGAACCGACGTTGGATACTTCTTGGCCAACAAGTTCCTCCGCAGAAACATCAACAAAATATACAATTAGTAAGAGACCAAAACATTCCATTTAAATAGCTAGTAGAAAAAAAGTATGGTTACAAATTGTGTTCAAGCAATTATCATTTATGTGATTATATATGCTCATGTCCAATTCTTAATCCCTTGATTGGAATGGCTTTAAAATAAACTTTAACACGTTCACTACCGAACGTCGCATATATGCGACGCCGCGATCATTGCCAGAGACCGAGGTGTACAATTTAATCTTACACATAGACTGCCCATGTAGCACAAATGGTTGGGCCAACGTTGGTAAATTGTGGAGCCACACAGTTGGCCAATGGTAGAAATGTCACCTCTTTAAACTGTTTTCCAGCCAACCATTGTCCAACCGTTTTATTTCACACAAAATAATAAAGATTTAGTATGAAAAGCATAATTATTAGTTGAGTAAATTGATTAAATAGTTCATAAAAACAAATTTTGAAAAAAAAACTAGAACAAAATTTTTTTGGCCCAGACGGGTCTCGAATCCGGGTCCTTCGACTTATGAGCCTCTTACTTTACCACTGAGCTATCTGTGATTGCTGATATAGAGAGTTTTCAAGTGGTGAAAGAGTAGCTGACAGTTGCAATGGTCGCAATACTTCAAACATTTTTGATACTACACAGTATAATATGATTCTGTTAATCTGTTAAGGCATCATAAGTAGTTTTTTTTTTTTTTGGAGTTAGAGAGGATACTGGTATTTGAATGATTAATTAATTACCGTTAGATTGTTAATGCTATTATAATTGCCTGTTATATGATTAATTACTCTTTCCCCTTAAATTGTTGCAAATAAGTTAAAGAATATTAATTTAAAAAATATTTGCATTATTAAAATTATTAAAATTCATTGTTGTAGCGCCGGAACTGTAATATATAAAATATCTGGTTTTACAATACCTTTATCAGTTCCAAAAACTTTTGGAAACTTTTGGAACTGATAAAGGTATTGTAAAACCAGATATTTTATTATAATTATGTTGTGAAAGCTAGACCCAGAGAATGAAAGTCGTGTAAACTCAACTATGGACCATTGTTGGTCCAACAAAAGTATCTTTTGTTGGTCCAACGGAGTGAAAAACGGTTGGACAACGGTTGGCTTGATGTATGATACCCAGCAATGCATATTAATGTATTTCATTAACAATGAACCAATGTTGGTCCACAGTTGTAAATATTGGTTGGCCCAACTACGAGATATACAGTTGGACAACGGTTGGTTGGTTGTGGAAGCTCCAACCAACCATCGACCAACTGTCCCACAGTTGGCCAACGTTGGCCCAACCATCTGTGCTACATGGGTGGCTGTCAGTTGGTTAACAGTACACGCAGACCACGGGTGAAAACCTGTTAAACAGTGATCATTTACTTTGTAATACTCTGCAATCTTGTTTGTAAATACATTCTTGTTTGTTTATATATTTTTGATAACCTTTTGTAATGTTGCATATTTGAGACAACCGGTTTATAGTGAAGACAATACAGTAGTGAAAATTATTATATTTTTCTTGAAATAGCCCAAGCGCCGCATATATGCGACAGTTCATTTTTGTTTATGTTTTTAGGTAAAAGTAAGTAAAAAATCAGATTTTTCAAGAACAAATAAAAAATAAAAATTTAACAAATATCAATTGAAAAAATATAAAAGCTACATAGGATAATGCAGCATACATACAGTGATGCTGCAAAGTAAAGAACAGTTCTCCCAACTATCATATGACGTCACCAATCATCATATCCACAGACCAAGAGACTCAGTTGTGCGACAAACATCCCTGTAGACACTACAGAGAATTCAGTGCCTTCAAATAGTCGACCGTTAGGCCGAGAAAGATATAAGCGTTTTGATAACATTGGAACACCGACGCAAATATGTGACTTCAGTCTATTTTAATGTGACTCAGTCTGTGGGTATAAACCAGCCATCGCATATGTGCGTCGGTCCATATGAATGACAAATTTTGTACTATTGCTATAGCAAACGTGTTAATTGATAAAAATATTTTAGAATGATAGTGTCTAATTTGTTGTCACAGGTACTTAAACATTTTATAAATTATTATGATATTAGTTTAGTCAATTGTTTATGTCATTTGGCATTACAATAATGCAATAGTCATGGCCATAAGCAATAATATAATTGTGTATTTACAACGTCTTGCTTGTCCCCTAATATTACAGAAACCAGCTTCTGCAGTTTGTTGAAAAATAATAAACAAACCAAAATTCAGATTAGTCTAAGATCAAATGTAAAAACATGAAAAATTAAATTTTCTGGCCAATGAAAATTAAGTGACCAATGAAAATTTTCAGCTTTGGACCAAAGGCTACAAGACTTGGTCGTTACATTGGAGTCATTGCGGACCAAATGATCGATGAAGAAGATCTTAATGAGGTTAGTTATCCCAAACATTTTACTGTCTCTTACTTTTAAAGTATAAAACCCTTGAGAGTCTCAATTTAATTTGATTAATCATTATTCTATTTTAACTTGTAAAGGATGCATTAAACACTTCATTCATGTGGTGTAACATTTTTTTAACACTTTTATATATATAATGCCTGTGACACTTTTATTCTTGAAGAGTGCAGGCTTGCAGTAAAAAAATATTGGTTAATTTAATAGAATGTTCAATTTACTCAAATAATTTAAGCTTAGAAATATGTGCTATCTTGCACTTAAGACTCAGCATGGGTGATAAATTTTGAAATGTATTTGGAGGAATTTGGATGGATTACTTTCAAAACTTCAGCATTGGATGTGATAATTTAGTGAACTAATGTGAATATCTGACTGTTTGGATTCAAAGACTCATTAACTCTTTATTAAGTGTTAAATAGTGTTCTTCTTGCTACTAAAAACTTGTCCAGCATGGATCAGCAATGTTCACTGATTAAAACACTTAACACTTGTTAATATATGCTGCTAATTAATCGGGTAAAACCATTTAGTTGGAAAACTGGTAAAAACCACCAAATTCAGCAGTCTATCAACTTAAAAGGTTGACACTAACAACTCCTAGCACTAACAACTCCTTGCACTACCAACCCCTCGCAATACTAATTCATTACACTACAAATTCCTTGCACTTCCAACCCCTTGCACTAAAAACCCAATAAACTACCATGCCTTACACTGCCAACCCCTTGCTCTACCGACCACTTGTACTAATAACAACTTGCACTACCAACCCCTTTTTCTACCACTACCTTGCTCCTCTAACCCCTTGCACTACCAACCACTTGCACTACTAACAACTTGCACTACCAACCACTTGACCTACTAAACCCATTTGCACTACTAACCCCTTTTGCACAACAGACCCCTTGCTTCTCCAATCCTTTGCACTATCAACCGCTTTCACTACCAACTCCTCGCACTACCGACCACTTGCACTACCAACCCCTTGCACTTCCAACCCCTTACCAATCAATTGCACTACCAACCCCTTTTTCTACCGATATCTTCTACTATAGATTCCTTGCTCATCCGACCCCTTGCACTACCAACCACTTGCACTACTCACCCCTTGCACTACCAACCCCTTGCTCCTCCGACACCTTGCTCCTCCAACCCTTTGCACTACCAACCCCTTGCACTTCCAACCCCTTTCTCCAAAAAAACCTTACACTACCAACCCCTTTTCTACCTCTACCTTGCACTACAGACCCCTTGCTCCTCCGACACCTTGCTCCTCCAACCCTTTGCACTACCAACCACTTGCACTACTAACCCCTTGCACTACCAACCCCTTGCACTTCCAACCCCTTTCTCGAAAAAACCATTACACTACCAACCCCTTGCACTACCCACCCCTTACACTTCCACCCTATGGCGCTGATTAATTTATCTCTCTCATTTGCAGCTTAAGGCTTTGACAGAGACTCACCAGGCTCTGCTAGAACAGTCAAGACTCTCCATTAGACAAAGTCTAGAGTCTGTGGTTGTCAACGTTGCTTGGATGAAGGACTACTATCAGACCATCAGCCAGACCCTCACTGTCTGAAAATCTCTCTGTTTCTTTACACTAGTCAAGTTGTTCAATTAAAAAATATATTTTTTATGTCATTACCTGTTTTTTTTCACTTTTCCATGTATAAATAATATAACAAAAAATAATATAGACCTACATCTCAGAACTTATCCAAAAGCAAAATGGGTTTGGTTATAAGTTGTGGTTTATTTCCCTCACCAACTTTATGATGTCTCATCAGCTTATGTTTTATTTTGGTTTAGTCTGGATTGGCCTGTAGTGTGAGAAGTGTAACATCGCACTGGTGTTTGATTTGATCTAGTTCGCTTGACAGCGACTAGAGCTTGTTGAAGTAGGCCTACTCAAGTTCTTTAAGTATTATGACTTAAAACCTCGATGCTAATGAAACCTAGCGGGTTTTTTGACCGAGCTAAGATCTGATGATTGGCTTAACTGAGTATATTATCAGTTTCAGACTGACAATACTACTTCGTTAATTACGATATTATTATTCTAATTATTTATTTTAAGACAAACTGGCTGAAACTCCAAAGAGACAATACTGAAGCAACTCCTAGCTGTGGTGGGAGGAAGTGTCAGCCGTATATTGCAACTGGCAATATAAATGGTCAAGTTTCAACAACTGACCATTTCAGTGAAAATTGTAATAAAAATATTCTGATCCTATTCCCTGGTATAAGGTGAAATATTGAAACTAACCAATTCTGTTAAACCAGCCGAGCAACAAAATGAACTACATCTGTGTGAGTTGCAAATATTTATTAAGTATATGTCAGTTTGATGATACTGTTTGTTCAAATGTATACTAGTCATAATAATTGCTATCTAAAAATGGTTATAAAACAAACAAGCGTGACTATTTACTCGAAGAATAATACTTTTAAATCCCACAGCACACATCACAGCGTTGTTTAGATGGGAGGACGGGTCTAGAATTTTTGAGATTAAAAAAAATCTTGTTAGTTGAGATTGACTTTGCTTCCAGAATTTTTCGAGACGAGTTTATAAAAAAAACTAGACGCCTTCGCAAAGGAAACGCGACATCAATGCGCTACTGTATTGCGTGTATTGCAGGCGCTTTCTGAAGGCGTTTTTAAACTGAGTACATCTCAAAAATCGGTTCACCATCTGGCAATTCGTTTATCCATCATGACCTTGGTTTCGTCTATACCTGATATAATATGTTTTACTGTATATGATATCATTATCACTGAGGTCAGTAGGACACCGTACAAGCTAATACAATTTTTTTTTATACTGTAGACTGTTTTTCATGTGATGCAGTTAGTTGTGGCGTGCATGTTACAGTTTTGTATTAAATATGTCTTATTCTTTTTCTTATTTAATATTTTCTCTGCAAGCTTTTGCTATTTTGTACACTCTTTTTTGTCAACCTTTGTAATAAATAATTGGTTATTGTGCTTAAGTTGCTGTTTTAATAGTTATTTATTGTTATTTATGACAATTGTTCATAAATCTCAGGTTCAACCTTTGTTCAACCATGTTGTTCAACCATTGTCAAACTGCGCAAACGATGATTCCCGTTAGTAATGAGATCTATAATCTCGTCTCGAATTATGTTGAGAAAAAAGAGTATCGTCTCGAACTTAAAATCCAGCATCGTCCATCACAAATTTTATAAAAGATCTGAGATAAATTGATGGAATCAAATAACTCAATTTTGTGACTTATTAATACAACGTTTGAAAACACTACGTTTCCCCCAAAATATACTCTTTGGCAGTAGTTTCCAAGATTCAAGATTTTTATTTCCAACATTTTTTTTTTAATGCGATGTTACAATTACAATTTATTATACAGTATATTGATAATATAGCATATACGTGCGATTTATGAACCTAACAAGTACATTAAAATAGTCTGCTATAGGAGAACAAAATACAATATATAAAAACAAATAAGAACAGATTTTAGATAGGTATCTCATAAAAAAAATGGTGCCGACGTACCATCACGCTTGAAGACAGTATAGTGCTGCGACTGCCCAATTAAGATTATTGATCATGGAATTAAGACTATTATTACAAGTTTGGAGAAAACAATTTTGACTGCTTTGTAATACACATAAATGTTAAGGAAAGAAAAGTAAAAAACCTACGATAAGCTTCATTATTATCTTTTAGGTACAACTCGATTTAGCAATGGGGTTTAGTGTTTACGGCCGTAAAATAAGCAAAAGGTCCAATATAACAAAGCAACAGCATTACTATTTGATATTGAGAATAGTTGTAACAAAGAAAACTATTGTTTGAACATACTCAAGGGTTCAACTTTGAAGGAAATCGTGGACCAGCTCTGTTAGACCTTAAGGGTCTTCTTCCTTTGGTTAACATTGACCTCTGAGTAACCTTCACCTTTCTTCCTGGTGTCCTCTCAATTTATTGTACAAAATTGTAGTTCTTTGTTTTTGTCTGCCTACTAATAGTTTTTTGGCTTGACACTCAGTATTATTTATACAAACAATAATGTTGCTGATGTACCCTAACTGTAAAATAGACATTCACTGTATGAATAGGATAGTTTTGGTGCCAAAATAAAGGGGTTTAAAATGTATGTATTTAAAAAAAGTTCAACGTGCATTATTAGTCCATATTAGTTAATTGTGGTTTTGGTGGTTTCGCATAATAGGGGATAAAATTAATTACCATCAAGACGTGGATCCGGGACCTATTTACTTTTTCGTTTTGATGTTTCCATAGGCCAAAAACACCATCCGCTGAAATTCATATATAATCTATATCTATATCTATATATTGCCTGGTTGGATTTTCACTTGGATTTTTTTTCTGTTTAAATAACATTAGGTTTAACGAGTAAGGATTGCCACAACATATCGATGGCCACAAGAGAGGGTTACAAAAGTGTTTTGGTAAAATGTTAATAGCTTATTTATAGAATAAATAAATTTGTCAATTGTGATCAAAATATCCATAAACAAGCCAAAACTAATTATTCTACTTACTCTCCATAACTACTACTTTCTACACTAATTATTCTCCATAAGAATAACATGGCAATTTTTAAGTTACAATTTTTTAAACTCTATCCACAACCAATACTACGAAAACACTTCAAAGTAATACATTATTAATTGTTTAAGCCCTACAAAATAGTTTAGAGAGAAATCGGGATGTTCTATGTTTTGAGAATAAATAATGGAAAACCCCTTTTTATCCCTTAAAATCCTGTTTCCATGATCCAAACATTCTTTTTGAACGCGTTCGAAGAAAGGTAGGTTTCTACTTTTGTAAAGAATTTATCGAAATTGTATGGATTTACTCAAGCTATTTGTGCTAATAGACACATATAATTAATGAATTTAAATGTATGGTGTTTTTGGCCTCTGGGGACATCAGGACGAAAAAGTAAATCGGTCCCGGGTCCAGGTCTTACCATGAGTCTTACGGTAATATCCCTTCATTTTAAATTTACTGAGAATCAGGAGTATATTATTTTTTAAATGCGGAAGGGAACTGTTAACTGCTCCCGATTTTTAAGCAAATTGAAACCCGATTCAGATGAATGTAATTCTGGGTAAAACAAGAATTTGTACGTGTGGGATGTGCTTACATCGAACAAACAAAAACACACAAAATTCCAAGTCAAATTGTGGGTATCTTCGAGGCGAATTAACAAAGTGTGTATGGTAAAGAAAAAAATAATATCCGCTGGTTTATTAAAATAATTAGTCTATTAAGTTGTTTTTAATATTCACCAGTGGAAATTTCATCCCACTGTATGTATAAGTTAAAGTAGGCCTACTAGATAAATTCTTACTCATTACTTTACGTTTTTGGCGCTATTACAGATCAAATACATTTTTAAGGATTGCAATCCTAAACGCAAAATAATTACTTTGAAAGAGGTTAACCCACAAGTGAAGTATTTTAGTGACCTGAACGTCGATCCTCGTGACAAGAACGGTCAGAGGGCCCCAGCTGGTTGAGAATGCACTGGCATGAGAATGGTCAGAGGGCCCCAGCTGGTTGAGAATGCACTGGCATGAGAATGGTCAGAGGGTCCCAGCTGGTTGAGAATGCACTGGCATGAGAATTGTCAGAGGGCCCCAGCTGGTTGAGAATGCACTGGCATGAGAATGGTCAGAGGGTCCCAGCTGGTTGAGAATGCACTGGCATGAGAATGGTCAGAGGGCCCCAGCTGGTTGAGAATGCACTGGCATGAGAATGGTCAGAGGGTCCCAGCTGGTTGAGAATGCACTGGCATGAGAATGGTCAGAGGGTCCCAGCTGGTTGAGAATGCACTGGCATGAGAATTGTCAGAGGGCCCCAGCTGGTTGAGAATGCACTGGCATGAGAATGGTCAGAGGGTCCCAGCTGGTTGAGAATGCACTGGCATGAGAATGGTCAGAGGGCCCCAGCTGGTTGAGAATGCACTGGCATGAGAATTGTCAGAGGGCCCCAGCTGGTTGAGAATGCACTGGCATGAGAATGGTCAGAGGGTCCCAGCTGGTTGAGAATGCACTGGCATGAGAATGGTCAGAGGGCCCCAGCTGGTTGAGAATGCACTGGCATGAGAATTGTCAGAGGGCCCCAGCTGGTTGAGAATGCACTGGCATGAGAATTGTCAGAGGGCCCCAGCTGGTTGAGAATGCACTGGCATGAGAATGGTCAGAGGGTCCCAGCTGGTTGAGAATGCACTGGCATGAGAATGGTCAGAGGGCCCCAGCTGGTTGAGAATGCACTGGCATGAGAATTGTCAGAGGGCCCCAGCTGGTTGAGAATGCACTGGCATGAGAATGGTCAGAGGGTCCCAGCTGGTTGAGAATGCACTGGCATGAGAATTGTCAGAGGGCCCCAGCTGGTTGAGAATGCACTGGCATGAGAATGGTCAGAGGGTCCCAGCGCTAATAGTAGACCGGGGACTCTCTGTCCGCCTTCGTTCCAATATTTTACTATGTGTTTTTGTGTGGATTATCCAGGACCCTCATTCCTACAGCCGAAGAGGAGTCATCTGCTGAAGAAGCTTTGCATTTACTAGAGAATTACACACGCCTGACGCACTCGTATCAGACCAATCTTTAAATATGACCTCGGGATCCAACCTTTAGTTACACGGTTATGTCACTCTTACCCCATAACGCAATGCAAGGCTATAGTTTGAAAGATTTACCTCTAAAATAATGTTTACAACTACTGATTACATACAAATTACTGTAGAAAAGTCGGAGAGCGTACTTGAAAATTATGTTGAGCTCACTTTTGCAGATTTGACTTGACAACCACGTCAAGCACATCAATAATGTTGTAGGCAGTCATACAATCATCATATTTTATGTTCATTTCATTTTTGCAGGTTTATTTTATTTTAGTTTTGATCACACTGTTGTGGTCATATTAATCAGACACGATTTTGACAGTAGAACGCTTTGATCATGTAAATGATGTCATAGTACACCATGATCAATTGTGATCTTAGAATGTATTGACAATATGCACTTTTTATCATGAAACATATACAGGGTGTTCAAAAAAGGTAGGGTCATATCTTACCTAGTGATTTCTTGGGTCAAAATAAATCAAAAATCATGAATAAAATTTTCTCCAAAATCGCTTCGCTAAACAGATATCTGCCATATTGTATTTTTACATAAACATTTTTATCTTATAATATTTTCAACAGATCGTTATGAAACTTGCTATGTATGTTAAGGTAGAAGAGACCCGTGTTAGAAAAAAAAGTTCATCTCGATTCAACTTAAAATTTCAAAATGGACATTAAACATTTTGTAAACTTAAATCACTCGAAAATGGCTGGTTTTATGAAAAAAATGTCAAGAACCCTTTTGTTTATCATTTTTAACTACGGTACCAAGTTCAAAAAGATCGAATAAGAAATAGCAGAAATATTACGATTTTTTTTAATGGGCAAACCTGACCTGCCTTATGTTCTACACGTTTTTGAAAAAAATGTTATTCTTGATTTTCTATTTATTTTTTACCCAAGGAATCACTAGGTAAAATATGTTCCCACCTTTTTTGAACACCCTGTATATCGTACAACAATCATCACGTCGATCATACACTTATGATAGTAAAAAACACATTCTATATATGAATATATAGAACATATTTATCGTAGATTTCTGAATTTACAGAACAACTGGATCATACATTTATGGTCATACAACATATTGATCATACGGTGGCTTAGCATGATATATTATTCTTAAAACGCTATAAAATAATATTGATCACACAATTAGTGCCACACATTGGTTAAAGTCTTGCAATATATTTACTTCCAGCTTCTCTCCAATGCCTGTCCAGTCGAGAATGTGTTTGTGTTGACCTTGAGTTGGACAATTTAGGCTAGTGTTATATTACGTAGGATACGTAATTGGGAAAGAGATTGGGTATACCACCGACATACTTCTATGTAACTTCTTTCTTTGAAACTTCTTTGCATGTATAGTCGACGGGAAAAATCTACGTGGATTCATTCCTCACTGAATCCATCAGAAGTCACTGTACAGGCTGAGTTTCTACTCAGCCTCCTCCTAGTTATAGTCCTAGCAGCTCGTCCTCGTAGTCTTAACAGCCCCAGTATTTTTCAGCCCATTGAAACTTGACTAACAACGTCGCGGTTAAGGTACCTGCCTCCAGGAAGGAGCGGTCAACTGTGGACGCCATTGAAGAGAGGAGGCGAACCCTGATGAGTGCTGAGGTGTTTAATCGTTATTCTAGTCGAGTAGTGTTCGTCCCACTTGAATAGCGAAACACTAACTGCGAGGTGGTGCGTTATGCTGGAAACTTTGTAGAACAGCTTCGTTCCAGCATACCTCATAGAGGATTACCTCCCACCTCTTCTCCTCACTCCGCAACAATGTGAACAACCTGAGTAGACGAGCTCCACCGCTCCGCCCCTCTAGGTTCCATACTCGGTCCCGACATCTGTAACGTTGTCATCTCCTAAAGGTATAACATGTCTGATGAAACTGTTTTGGTTGGGTACACCAATAATGACGTGGATCTACTCCAACAACACTCAACTTTAAGCTGACCCAGCTAACACAGAACCGAGTCATCCGTACCTTAACGCATGGATGACCGATCACTGTCTCTTACTTATAGATTTTCATTTTGACCAAGAAGCGATTGATACTATCGTTTTGTTGCAAGTTTACTGTCCAAACCGTTCAATCCGTGCATTTCAAAGTACACGGGGTGGACCTAATGTGGAATGTTAATTGGTTTTATTGTAACTTTTTTGTACCACGAGGTAATGGTGGACAGTACTATAAACTGAGATGACGGGAGCAGACCTTCAGTAAGGAAGACAAGGTGGCCAAAGGTTCTATAGTCTATTTGATGGAACCTGTCTCCTGAACCTCCGTCTAGTCGTAGATGGAGGTTCAGCCGGGCTCCTCAGTCCACCCTTCTGCGGTCTTCTCCTGTATGATGTGGATCTGTGGTCATACGCACTCAACAATGAGTGTTCCAGTGTCACATTTGCGAAATGAAGTGTCCGAAACAGCTGTTCTGGTAGTTTCCAGAGTTATCCTTGTGAAGTTCGAGGCGGCAGACCGACCTACCAGCGGCGTTGGGAGGACCTGGAAAAATCAGAAAACACCCGCACTTTCCACAGCAGAAGCCTCAGGGGCACTGGATGATAAATCAAGTTAAGTCCTTGGGTGGATATTTACTTCATGTTCCTGGCGGGTCATGGCTACTTCCAGTATTACTTGTTCAGGATGGGCAAGGTTGGGTCACCGCATCTTCTGCCCGGGCGCTCCCGACGACCCGGAACATAGAACTACATTCTTCCGCTATCTACGCTCCCCGAGATAGAGGCTCAATATCAAGAAGGATCGCAGTTGGTGGACACTGACAATGACAAAGGGTGAGGACCCATGAACCTTTTGTTCATAGATTTTCCAGGATATTCTTTGTAGGGCTAATATTAATTGTATGCCAACACAGAGAAGTAAGGTACAGAGGAAACATTCAATGGTACATTTAAGTGGTGGCTAGGGCAAAGTCCAACACCACCCCCCTCACTATGCACTACAACACTACTAACTACTATGTACTACACTATGTACCCTTATGTACTACAACATTACGGTGGAGGAAGACCCCGTGCGATAAGAATTTCCGCACAGTGCTCGCCTTTCGGGCTCTTCTTTGCTCGTCAAAAGTACTGTTATTTTAATATTTATTGTTTCTTTTGCTGTAATTAAAATTTCAAACGGGTTTTAATTCTAAAGCTTGTTTTTGTATAATGGTGTGCAGTAACCTTAATTTTTATCTGCAATTTGTCATTAGTAGGTTTTTTTTTTTCATTGATATAGAATACAGTTGGCCCAACTTTAAATTGCATTATATTATTAAACAAAACTCTATTAAATCTATGATGGTAAAAATTAGTCAATTTAAGTAAAATAAACTTGTCTTTTTAATCCTAACCAAAAATACCTTGGGTGAGTCATCACGTTTAATTGAGTTCTGCAGGTTTAGTATTTGAACTATTCTTCGCAAGTTCCAGCTGTTGTAGGCCTACTGTCTGAGCCCAAACACAGATACACCGACAATCCTAGGCAACAAAGAGCCAGCCCAATCCTGAGCCAGTTAACCCCCTGGTACGAGGGGGAGGGGGACCACAGCTCAACAGCTGATAGATCGTTTCAGTTGCAGTTCAGAGTGCTGTGGGACGCCGCCATGGAATCATCTTCCGATGTCAGGGCGTTCACGCTCGTTTTTGCCGCGCTTCTCTTTACAGGTAAAACATTTTTTATCAATTGTTTTGTTTTACTTTTCTTATTTAAAGTGCTTGTAATTTGTAAAAAAATCTAGTAGTGTACATGTTTTAATTTATAGGTAAACTTTGTTATTTTTTTATTTTTAAATTAAAAAATAATATTATAGGGGGGGTCTCTGGTTTTAACTTCTTTCAGTCTGAAGTTAACTAACTTTTCTAGATATTCTTTTTTTTATTACGTATATTTTTTCAATTTGTAAAAACATTTCAAAACTAGCACAAATTGTATTTTTATTTATTTGTTGTTTATAGTAATTACTTGTTAATCCATCATTTGTGGTTTTACCTTTATTATGTAAAATGTTATGATTTTTAAGAATATTTTCAATGTTTGTGTGGGGGGTTTCATGGGGTAAAAACGATTTTTAGCCATTTTTGACCCTCAAAAAACAGAATTTCCCAATTTCACTTTAGACGTTTTTAAAGAGCTTTAAAAAAAAACAATTTAGTATATAAAGTGTTTTTGTACGGTTATTGGTAACGGAGAAAATTCAAAAATTGTAAATTTAAAATTCCCATGTTTTTGAGTGGAGCGAATCGAAGCTATACTACACTCCTGCTTTTGTTTTACAAATACTCCTCCTGAACGGCTGAAGCGATCTGCAAAAAAATTAGCACAATCATAGTAACCAACCATGGGAAGGAATACATCTGAAATGGTACAAATCGGACAACAGGGCTTTTCTCTACGTTAATTTAAACTTTTGACATGTGCCTTATGGGTTAATTGGTTGCCATTAAATTATTTGCGAGATAACAAAAAAGGTAAACAAGAGTTGCAACATATGATAGTCAACGAATCATCTAAATAGTACATCACAAATACCGTATAGATAAAAAGGGAAGAACAATCGGATTAATATCATTGAGCACAATTTACCACAAAATGAGTAACCAATAATTATGCTCTCCGGAATAATGCTGATGCACCATTGACTTTAATCCAACTAGCCATTCCATTTACATGAACCAAATATAGGCCTACAATTGAGTTTGGATAGTGCAAGTAGACTTTCCATTTACGTGAACTAGACGTGCCATTAATGCAGACTTTGAATAGGTACTGCAATTAGGAATTCCATTAATATGAACTAGATTTATAAATTGACTTTGAATACTGCGAATAGACATTCCATTGACGTGAACCAAATATACCATTGACATTGGCTACTGCAAGTATTTCATCTCATTTACGAGCAACAGATGTAGCATTGACTTTAGAGAAGTATTGGATTAATATGCTAGCTCAATAATGCAAGCAGACAACTGCATTGTAGACCTAGTTCTTATGGAGAATACTGTAAAATGTTGTAGTTTGCTTGTTTATGGATATATTTTGACCAAACTTGTCAAATTTATTTATTTTATACTAAGCTATTAATATTTTACTAAAAACACACTTTATTAGCTTCCTTGTAGCACTAAACCTAGGTACTCGTTAAGCCTAATATTAATTAAATAGATTCGATTGAAAATAAATTCAGACAAATGGAAATTCGCTTAGTCGGCAGGTTTGCTGTGGCGGGGTATTAAATCTGCCATTTTTAAAATTTGTATTTTGACTTAAAAATTTGTATTTTCTTTGTTTCTTTGTTTAAAATTTATATTAAGAGGGAAAAGAACATCTACTAAAAACTAGTTTTCGTTCAGAAGTGAATACAATATTTTTGGCATGGGTTGTTTTTGTTTATTATGGTCGATGTAGTTTTTTTATTAGTGAAAATATTTTATATCCCTGATGTATTTTTATTCATTGATCATCCTCAAGATGACTTAGTCAAAATCATTTCCTTCATACGTTTTCTGTGTAATAAATAAAAATGCACATAGTGTTATTTACCTGCTGAGATTCAGTAAAGTTAGTATATAGAAGATGAATTGTAATTTGCGATGACGACCGTACACACAATTGATATATGTACACTTTCATTGGAAACAATTTCATTTGTAAACTAGTTTATATTTATTTTCACAACTTTGAATTATTATTTAGTTAGGAGTTTTGTTAAATTAAATGGTACCTATCTTAGGAATAATTTAATTAAGAAAACAAATTTGAAAAACTTGTTATATCCTGAGAAACCTATAGGACTAAGGTTTTTGTTATTAATTGCAAAGAATTTCCTATAATCTTTACAAATCAATAGCATTTTTGTTTTTGTTTTTTATGGTCTGCAAGGTTATTTAGTTATTTTAATTTAATAATTCTTGTGAGTAACATAAAAAGTCGTGTTTGTAAATAATTTTCACTATTTTCGAATTATTCATTTGCGGTTTTACAGCAGTTGGAATAACATAATAAGTTATCAAAAGTGGTGTTTATATTAACTTTAACATGATTGAAAAAAATGAACTAGTACAAATTTAACTATGCTTTAAATTACATATCTCTTTAATAATTGCAAAGTTATTAAATTAATAAATATAATTTTCTGCATAATTGCATGAAGCTTTGTACTCGTAGACAATGTAATAACATTCCAAAATGTTTCAACGATAAATGAAATGCGACGTAGATTTGCAATTGGTGAAAAATCTACCAGTTTAAACATTATTGAGCTGTAAAAAATATAAACGGAAAGTGTTTGTAAATAGAGTGATGGAAATAACCCTTGAAATGCGAACTATTAGCCTAAATCAGCGCCTGTGGGGGTACCAGATGTGAGACGCAAAGCCAAAAATACCGTTGAGAACAAATAAACAAACAACTTCTGGAACATAATAAAAGGTAACATGTTCCATATGGCCTTGACCTGTTTTGTGTCATAGTGCAATTACGATTGTGGATTTTCCTTTCCAAACGTGAGGCTTTCGATTATTAGCATGTTCTGTTGTTATTGAAAGTTTGAAAATTGCCTTCTGCATTTGCTGAATATGTTAACACCGTTATGCAAGTTAGGATGAGTTGATGTTACACACACGAACTTGATCCCAATAACTCTGAATGGTTTTAGTGATCGCCTTGTAGTCAGAAGGTCGCCGGTTCGATCCTGAGTAATGTCTAGCTTTTTTATGGTTCGTAACTGAACCTAACTGCCATTGATCATTGGGTTTGTAACAGATGGTCCAGGCTAATGAAACAGCTGGTCTTAGCTGGTAACAAAACTACGAGGCCTCTTCAGGCCAATGAAACAGCTGGTCTTAGCTGGTAACAAAACTACGAGGCTTCTTCAGGCCAATGAAACAGCTGGTCTTAGCTGGTAACAAAACTACGAGGCCTCTTCAGGTCAATGAAACAGCTGGTCTTAGCTGGTAACAAAACTACGAGGCTTCTTCAGGCCAATGAAACAGCTGGTCTTAGCTGGTAACAAAACTACGAGGCCTCTCCAGGCTAATGAAACAGCTGGTCTTAGCTGGTAACAAAACTACGAGGCTTCTTCAGGCCAATGAAACAGCTGGTCTTAGCTGGTAACAAAACTACGAGGCCTCTCCAGGCTAATGAAACAGCTGGTCTTAGCTGGTAACAAAACTACGAGGCTTCTTCAGGCCAATGAAACAGCTGGTCTTAGCTGGTAACAAAACTACGAGGCCTCTCCAGGCTAATGAAACAGCTGGTCTTAGCTGGTAACAAAACTACGAGGCTTCTCAAGTAAATTTACATTCATTTACTATTATTATTCATGTTACAATATGATTAATCGAGCCCCTGTCTTAATACAATTGTAATAAATACTCTTTTAGCCACCCAAGATTCAAAAACCTGATCATATTCATTAAAGAACTTAAAGTCAAGTAGGTATTAATTTTTATTCCCTTTATGCTTGAGTGGTTGATCAATGCTATAGGCATTTCGCCAGTTTGTGTAGCATCTTCACAAGCAATATCGTACACGTGGTCGGGTCAAGCGAGTATCGCGACGATAGGGATAGGATAATAATACAAACCACCACCCAAGAACAAAGGCAACAAAAAATGTAATAAATCAACTTGAAATGGAATCGTAGCCAAAATTTATAAGTGTCATCGTTGGACCTATAATTGTGTTTAGTTATTTAATCAATAGTAGATTTAAATATAGTAAAGTACATACTAATGAAAAAAGTTGCAAGGGGAAAAATATGTTTTAAGTGTTTATATTAGCAAAATCACCGTTGAACTTTTCTATTGAAATATTAGTAGGACGAAAAAAATCGGTAAAATTGGCAATGTAACTTTATTGAACAAATTTTCAAAACTTAGTCACTTGCATTGCTATCTTTTTATTCTAAAAGAACTTATTAAATCTAAAAATCGGAATTTTTTTTAAACACAATGCTATAACAGAATTACGATTTTTGAAATGACCAACTTTGCAACGTAAAAGTACTTTGTTAAACTACTTTTTACTTGTATTAAATGAGTAGAGCAGTAAATGTTCGAGTCCCTTTACATCCTTCCCACAAACGTCCTTGCAATCTTCAATCATCCTTTCACTATCATTGAGGGTCAGGGCAGCGTCACTATCCAAAGGAACTGTGTGTAGACAATTTATACCCTATCCAACACAGATTTGCCATCCGTATTCATCGAATGCAGTTTTGGGCTTTGCAACAAAATATAAATCTAAAATTATAAACAAAAGTAGCTGGGACATTTAATATTACCAGTAACTAAAGAAGTAGGCATAACTGATACCATAAAGGTAATACATTATCCCAAATCTACATAAACAACATATTATAAATTATCTTTGGCAATATTTGTGTAATAGGGTAAAGTTGCACAATAAAATGTAAACATTGTTAAGGTTTCTATAGAAAACCAAATTTATAATACTCATAAGTATAACACGGTTAGGAATCCAGGGACCGCGATATAACGTAAGGAAAACAAAAACCTTCCTACGCTTGGATAACAAGTGTATCCAATGATTCACGGTGATGTAATGGACGATTTGGAAATACATAACAGAAAGAAAATACATTTGTAGTTAACAGAAAGATCAGGGTTAAGTTATTTTCAATTTTAAAATAAGAAAATAA